CTTAATATACAAATATAAACATTAGTTATACAGTGTTTAAAGATTACAAATTATTCTCAACTTCTGAATCACTCTCCTCATTTTGAAAAACTGAAACTGATTAATTTGCATAACAGATATTAATCTAAAGTGAACATTATTTTTCTATAAATCAAGATAAATCGCTATTCAATCAGCAAAGCTAAATCAAATCGACGACGCTTCCGCATTTAATCATTAAATTAACCAAAAGTAAAATTTGGATAAAATATAATGAGAAATCTTACATTTAAAGCTAGAATATTAATTATCATCATCATCACGCGATATTTAATAATCGATCATTGTTAATGTCAATTGATGAATACATTCCGAGTTTTTACCATTGCAATGCATTGATATAAAACATAGAATATTAAATGATAAAAATAATGAAAAACATTTTTTTCTTTTATGCATTTACCTTGAAAATTTAATATTCTTCCAATTGATTATCTCATGTTTCCACTGCAAATCTTAAAACTGCAATCTCAAAGTGACGAATGAGCACGAATTTAATATGTAAGATAAATTGTGTAATTTAATAATACACGCATTTGGAAACATACTCATAACTTAAATCATTTTATATATACTTAATGAGTAAAATCATTTCATCCACTAGTAAATCGTCAATCTATTGTTCTGCAAGTGCTATCATTTAAAATACAAAACATATGCTTTGTTTGTTTGTTTGTTTCATTTTACGCCTTTCCCAACAGTATTTCAGTCATATAGGCGGGTAGTTGCAGAAATTGTTATGATATAATTGTAAATTAGCTTTTGAAATCAATAATACAATAAAATACACAAAGTTAACACAAAAGCTAAATTAACATACAATACATATAAATACACTAAAAACATATTAATTATACAGTGTTTAAACTTAACAGATTATTATCATCATCTAACAAACAGAAACTTTTAAAGGGATTTCAGTTTATAAACTAAAGTAAATTATTACATTTGTTCTTTAAATCAGAATAAATTGCCTGTTATTTATACTAACAAAAATTGGCGGCGCCTCCAAATGTTCTTGAATTCTATGTATATTTATAGTTTCTATGTCTAATTAAAGTGAAAAAGTTTTCTCCATACATCAAATAGAAGGAATATTAAAACGCCGGTTGATTTGAAATAAATTTAAAACACATTAATTTATATGCATTAAACAAATAAAATAATAAATCACACACACACACGCACACACACGCACGCACGCATGCACACACGCACGCACACACACACACACACACACACACACACACACAGGCGCACGCACACACACACGCACGCATCAATAAACAAAACGGTTGTTTATCAAGCACACAAACGTTAATTTATAATATAATTGGAAACAATGAAAACATCAATATAATATAAACAATTTTAACAAGTTTTTATCAAGTACACAAATGTTGATTTATATTATAATTGGAAACAATGAAAATATCAATATAATAAAAACAATTTTAACATGGTTTCATAACGCAGTAAGACATTGTATTAAGACCACCATCAGAATTGGACCAAAGCGGTGCTAGCACAATGGTGTATAGGTCTCAATTTTGGATACTATTAATATGGCTTATCTATTTATGACCACAGCCTATTTTTGACATCAGGTCTGAATATGTTGAAACAATATGTATTATAAAAGTACTACAATATATATATATATATATATATATATATATATATATACAATGTTAGTCAGATATGAGTAGAATATAAGTCTGCAATAATCAAATGTGGTTTCAATACACAATCTACTATTAAAAAAATCATTTTTCTACAAAAGCAAATTCATGGTCTCAGTGTGTGTTGACTGAATTATTAGATTATTAGTGGTCTCAATAGTGAAGTAAAACAACAGCAATAAAAAGCAAGCAAACAAAACAAACAAAGATTTGGGACTGAATTTGGTGGTCTTCTTAGTGGATAATTGAGGGAGGGGTGTCTTTTATTCTGGGTCTTGCGTTTTGATTCCTTGCACAAAAAGCACATAATTGGAAAATATGAAAGTATTAAATTGACATTATATCAACCCGAGTGTAAATGATGGGTGTACATGTTAGAGTCAATGAAACGTAAAATTCTAATAGACTCTTACAGTTAAGTATTACTTATTTATGTTTCTGCGATAAAAGCATACGACATTAATAGAATTAATCTAATCCAATCAACATTAAGATAATTTGACATTTTACATATTAGTCGGATTTTCGATTTACTGACCGTTACATTTTAAGTATAAAGGAAAAAAAACTGGGGTTAACCTTGAAGCATTGATCTTAATTGGAATATATCCTGTGTTATCCGGTCATATCAGATGATTTTTGTCTTCATATTTTATTAGAAATTATTAAAAAAACATGAATTTCCAAGTGATATAAAGTTTGACTATTTGAAAAATCGTGTTATATATAGCAGAATGTAATCAAGGCAGTTATATGAATTAACCGCTGTTAAATGTAACCTCGGATATACGTTCGTATTGTGTTACATATGAAAATTGTGCAAAATAAAATTTGAGTGAAAATTATCACTGCATTTGTATTATTTCTCTTTTTTTATCGAATAATACTTCTTAAATATAGTGCAAAACATTTATAGCATTGTTTCGCTGTTGAAAATACTGAAAATAAGTTTTCTGTGTTTCTACTGACTATCAGTTACTATAATTAAACAGAATACGTTTCAGAAAGGCTTTTTAACGCCGATGATTTTGTTATATCTGTCCAGGTTGACGGTACATCCAACTTGTACTGATAGAAGTCAATCAGCATGTCTTTATAGGTTGCCACAAACCACATCCAATATCTACAGGTGGCATGCATATTAGCTGATGGAGCTATATACCATTCATTCAGGACTTTTTTATAATCTTTGTAAGGATGCCATTTTTTACTACATGGTTCTCTTTTTTTCTTGTTACATTTGTAATTACAAGCTTTACAATCATGTAATAAATTTGTTTGTATATTAAATTCACAAGATGCTAAATCTGCACTTTCTTTAATATCATCAAAGCGAATGCCTATGCAGCATAAAGGTCGATGTTGCATGCAGTAATGATCAGAACCTGTGTGATCTTCATTCTTTGTACATGGTTCACCGCAAAATTCACACTCTTCCTGACATCCCCATATCTTTTGTATTAAACGCTCAATAGGATTTGAGTTTGCCCATTGCACAGAACCACAATCAACCTCATTATACCACAACACAAGAGCTGCTTCTGTTTTCTTCAAACCGTCTAAAATTTCTTTTGTGAAGAATTCTAAATTTTCAATAGTCTCTTTTTCATTTTTCATGCAAATAAACATTTCTGTTGGAATAAAGAAATCTGACGCTTTCATTAAGATCTGAAAATATCCGACCCACTCATCGGTGGAAATGCATGATTCAGTTTTGTATTTTTTATTTATATTTTGTACGCATTCCTTTACAGTAAGAAAGAAATTACTTAGTAAAGATGAAGATATTTTGGCATATAACCTTGATTCTGTTGCAAAAAGAAAATGATTAGCCTTATGGGTTATCCATGAGCTTGCAAAATCCTTTGGAGCACGTATGTATCTAATGAAATTATTGAAATCGTCCTTTTCCAAAAGATCAGTGCATATTTCAATCATTGCTCTGTTTTTTACTGAAGGAAGATGAGCATAAAGGTCATCAGTTACTCTATTTGGAAGCGTTTGCAATGTCCATTCGTCAGCAAAACCTTCAATGACGTTGATAAAAAGTTTTGAGACAACATCTTCTGAAAAACGGCAACTGAGGTGAGCCTCGAAGCTAATTTTTTGTTGCATTTTATATGTTTTAAGACGAGCAGCAGCACCATAAGTTCTAAAATAGTTTTCGTTATGTTTCTCGAAAACCGCATGTGCATGCCTACTTACATGTACAAAAAGTTTCACATAAAAAGGCATTTGAAGCTCACATTCAGTTTTCCCCTCTAAACCGTTTTCTATGCTAGAAGAAATTTCATGAATAAATTTATTTATTGCCATTTCCGTTATTTCTTCGCTAACTTGACAAATCTGTTCGATTTTTTTGTCAACTGCTTTAAATAATTCATTCGTCTTGGTTTTAACAATTTTCATTACATGTGTCCGAAAAGGTAAATAATCTTTGGTTTTTTTTTGCCTATTTGTGGATCTAAGCTGATATTTGTTTTTCTGTATGTCTGTGTGTTATTGTATATGTCCCTTTTTATAAGTTTGTTCACAATTTTGGCAATTGTTGTTTTTTATTTTTAGCGTTTGCTGTCTCCTTATATACATTTTATATCTATCGGTCTATAATATTGTTCTTTTGATCTCTCTATTAATCACTATATATACTATAGTTATATATTATATTCGGACTTATTCTGTTTCTATTTTCTCTATAATCTTTATGAGTTATGTGTGTCTTTTTATCTCTTACTTATATTGTATTGCTTATGATTATTCTTTGTATATATATTTATCTTATTTATTCGGTCTCTGTTAAATTGTGCTCTTGAATTTTCTATTAGGTCGACTTCTCATATATCATTTATATTTTCTTGTTATAATTTTCTCTCTTATTTGTCTCTCCTGTCGTATCTGTGATTAGCTCTTTATATTTCTTACTGTCCTCTTTTCTCATATTGATTCTTTTATTAATCTGGTCTTGAATGTATTGTTCTTATGTTTTCTTCACATATTTTGTTCGTTATAATCGTTGGTTTTCTTGGTATTCTTGTTGTCATCTGAATATTATTATGTCTTTGTTATCTCTTTGTCTCTTTGTAATATATTTTTCTGTATTTGATATATCTTTTTGCTTTTCCTCTTTCAGTCTAATGTAATTATTAGTTTCATTCATATTCTTGTTCGTTAGATTGTGTTCTTGCTTTTCTTGTAAAAGTATGTTATCTTTGATCATCTTATATTCTAAATCTGTTTGTTGAAATGTGTTATTTCAATTTATTTCTTCGATATAAGGCTTCAAGATCGCCAAATTGTTGATACTTGAACAACATGTTCCATAGCCTTATAAGCTTTAATTTCAATGCTATTCCTAAAGGAGAATACAAAATCTTCGTTAAGAACACCTTTCCATAAGTTATGTGCATGTTCAGTTATATCGTCTAAAGATTTGTAGGATTTATCTTTCATTGCCAAGGCTTTTTTCAAGATACTAGACCTAATATCTATTACCTTTTCACTGTATTCAGTATTAACTCTAGCCATCGGCGGATTACCTTGCCACAGATTTTTAAGATACCATACCTGTGAGTTAATATCAAATTCAATAACCTGATTGAAGGTAGTTATATTTTTAATATTTTCGCTTTCTGCTGATTCTTTTGTCATCTCATCTAGAGTTTGAATTAATTTTCTTAGACCACTCATCATTTTGTCGGACGCAGAAGTGTCTGTTACGTTTTGATGCAGGAAGGAACAGCTTTTCTTTATGTCTAAGTCTTTGTTTGTCATTTTCAATCTAAGAAATGCATGTACAATAACTTGAAGTATATCTCGTATTTCGCTTGTATTTTCCCCCATTATATTTATCAGTGTTACATCTCCTATTCCAGTTATTACAGTTGCTAATTCATTATCATGCTCATGTTGATAATGACTTAGTTCTGGTGATCTCAGCCCTTCTGTGTCAACAACAAGAATGAAATTGTAATCTGATAATTTATCATCACATTTAGATATATCTACAGGTATCAGTTGTGCATGAATACCCCTGGTACACCTTCCGGTTCGGGTTGAAAACTGACATCCAAACATAGTATTTAAGAGAGTTGATTTTCCAGAGCTTTGCAACCCTAACACGCTGAGTGCTAGAACCTTGCCTGCTCCAATAAATTTATCAACTTCGTTGACTACAGCTTTTAACCATCTATAGGGCATATAAAAGCTTTCGCCATCTATAAGTTCTAATTGGTGTCCATCAGCAACCAGAAAACCAATTATTTTTGATATTTGACCTAGTGGGGGCAATTCATATGCAACACTGTCTTTTCCAAGTTCTAAGATTGCCTCATTTATGTGTCCTATCTCACGAAAAAAATGTTCTATTAAAAATGATGCTTCATTTATCCGTTCTTCCAGTTCTGATATGGAATTTTCTTGTTCTACTATATCAGATTGAACTTGTCTTTCCTGACTTTTAAGAAGTTTTAATTTTCTCCAAGCTAGTCGACGTTCGTCAATTAATGGCGGCAATGATTGTCGCTTTTCTTTTTCGATTGACAAATGTAACCAACAAAGAAAATACTTCATTACATTAAACTTATTTTCATACTTTTGAAGCATGTAAGTAAAAAGTTTAACTGATTTTGTTATTGCTTTTATTTGAGCTTCTCTAATATTTTTAATGTTTGTATCAATGGCGTTGCCCCCTTGAATGCTTTTTTCCCTCTCCCGCTTTTTGATAAGTTTTCCTAATTCTTTTGAAAATTTACTATGAACAGGTGTCAGAGTTTGCTTCCAAGTATTTGATAAGCCCTCTCTATTCATCTGCTTAATCATTTTATTTGATTCGTGCTTACCTATTTGACAGTTTTTATCATCTTCATCTATTATTATTTTTACTTTTGCTTGTTGTAAGCGTTCATGATATGATTTAGTGCAATTTGACTTCAATTGATCTGTTATATGTACTGATATAAAGGCGACCATGTCGACAGCGTTTTGTTCAACCTTTCCTTTATATGTGCTCAACACTCGGAGAGTTATGTTTGGTTTCAATTTCAAAACATTATATTTAAACTCATGTATTGCCATTTTTGTTTCTTGTGTAATGGGGTTTGCAATAATTAAAATTACTGACGAACATTTCAGGAGAATATCAATTACATTTCTACTTCTTTTTAGAATAGTTTCAATGTCAACTACTATGGTGAGAGTATCAACAAAGGTTGAAATAAAATGTTGAATTTCTGCATCAAAATCATGTTCTAAATCACCCCTTAAGTTCAAAAATGTCATTGCCTCTTGAAATATATCTCTTTTATCCCCAATTAACGGCAACCAGAACATTTCAACGTGTCCATTACTTAATTTTCTTTTTGTCATTCCAGAAAGGGAGTCAAAATTGAAAAAAGTTTTACATCCATGATCCGAAAGAATACTATTCATCAATTTGGATTTTGAATAGCGGGGTCGACCCAACCTTCCAAAAGCTATCATTTTCGTTTGAAGCTCAAGAATGTCAATTTCTTGACATTGAACCTCATTGTTTCCGTAATTTCTTTGTTTATTTTCTATTGCTAAAGATCGCAACGGCCAAACAGATAGTACTGACATTTGCTGTTCATTAGTTTCTTCCCAATACTTATACAAAAATGGTACAGCGATTTTGCAAAGATACAGTTTTTGTACAACGACTTGTTTCAAAAAAGGATCACAACATTGAAAAATTGTAAGAAATACATCTAATGGGCTTATGTCTTCTTGTTTATCGTCAGGCATGTCTGATAAAAAGCTCAAAGTATCTTCATAAACATTGCCGTTATTTAAATCTTGTTCATTTGTTACTGATATGTCCCTAGATTCACTATTCGAACTAATCAATCGTTTAAGGACTAACCACGGAATATCAGTTGAACAAACAGTTCCATTTTCTTTCTTCTTCCATTCGCTTGCATCTACGGCAACAATGTCTCGGATCGATATTGCACCTGGGTGTCTGTTAGCCAACCCAAGTTTTGTTAGGGTTTGAAAAAATATATCTTTGCTAGACGCGACAATATCTGTAAGAATAAAAACAAATTTTAAGTTGCTTATTAGTAAGGTCATGTTTCTACATAATTGAACTGTAATTAATAATTTTTACTGTTATTTTGTCTGCAAATTACATCAATGGATAGGAACTATCATGATTTGAACCTTAGGAAGTAAACTCTATTGTATTCACTGTATCTGTCGTCCGTCTTTGGCCGATTTATTTGAGCAACTACAAACTATTTTGGCTCAGGACTACAGTTTGCAGATTTTAATGTGACGTTGATCATGAAAAGATCAGAACAGCTTGAATGTATTTTCTAAAGTCCACATATCCCCATAATTTTTGACGAGTAATTTGTCACTGTGATGTTACTGCAATAGTTGCGACTTTCTGCTCGTCACCCGACCGGGTGAAATTCACTCTGCAAGATTACGCCACCGCAGAATGCTGCAAAAATTCAGATGACCGATAGTTTGACTTAATCGAATCTACTTTAAGTTATTACACATGTAATATTCTGTATGTATTTATTGTCCTGAACGTCAACACTCTGTTCAATTTCCGTTTTATTTCATTAATATTAATAAAAAGTTTGTTAACTGCTTATCTATGCATTTGTAAGTGAAAACGGTCTGAAAAATCCAATTGTTAATCACTTGTGTACTGCTAAAAAACAAAGTTTTAATTGGAAAAACTTTAATTCCCCATATTTTACATTTTTAAGAAATAAACAAATCTGGTCTTCACGCAAACTTGTTTCTTCAATTTAAGTACGCTCTTTCTTTGAACTCAGCCAACTACAAACGTGACAGCAATTAAAACTGTAACGAGTTTACTTTTTTATAATTCATCGTCTCAAGTTTCTATGAATTTGCCGATCTTCTGTATATTGTATAATATCATATATTAATCTTATATTGGTGCCTCTGTATCTTCCAGATAGAACACCAGTTTGCTTTTCATTTATATGTTCACTTTTAATACTCTTGTAGGGAGTTGAAAATTAGAATTATATTTAGCTTTTTGATATTTCAAATGATGTTCCTGGTTAAGCTATAATTTCAAAAGACATTGCCGATGAGGTAAGACCCTAGGATTTTTATTTTATTGTCGTCCTATATCAACAGTTGCAGTTCATTTATCTAGGTAACAAATGGGAACAATCACCAGCAAGGCTATGGCGACGTTCACCAAGCGCAGTCCCCAACATAATCAAGCCACACCCAGAAGGTACCGAACCAAAACAAAAATATCATCCTAATCAGAAAACTGAAATAATTATAAATGAATCTTCACATGTTATCTATACTTGTAAAATGTTTAAAAACAGATACATATTATATGATATCATTGCTGAATAGAGTCAGATAACATGGGAGACAAAATACATTTCTTGTGTATTCTTGTCTGTCTGTAATATAGAAAGCAAATAAAACGACATTAGATCAAGACATGAAACTGTCAATGTTGTGAAGATAGCGAGCATATAATTGAATATAATTTTTAAGTGTTGTATTTGTTATAGATATTTCCAAAAGTAAACGTGTAGTACATGTATTGTGTTATTCAAAGTGCTAATTTTAATAGTTCTTAAAATTGTATAATCTCTCGTATATAAGTGTATAAAGTGAAGAATTATGTTTGACATTAATGACATTAATGTGTTGTTATAAGACGCTATTGACGACGTTTAGTGTGAAGTTCATTGATGCATATTTGTAAAATAGAACGGCGACCAATAAGGTGCACCATGGCTGAGAAAAGATGAATTGCTGTGGTTCTCGAAAGCAGACGATACCTTTGAAATAATACGTAACACGAGTATCGACTTTTAAAACACGTGACATTTCCCGCTATTCATAAAGCGGTATATAAGGTATGTACATTCATTGTAAGAGCAGAGTAATATTGGCTTATAAACCGTTTGGACAAACAAAATCTTAAAATATAGTTATTTTGGTCTTACCGCAGTACCTTTGGATTTTAGCTGTTTTCACGTGACAATTTTGTTTGTTTAGAAGTTAATTTCAATTTATGAATTATCAGATAAAGAAAGTTAACGTAATCATAAAAAGTGAAATTTGTATGTGGTTCGATTTAAATTCGGTTAAGAAGCATACCTTTGTTAAGGTATTGTAATATCCCAGGGTCACATCTTTTATACTTACCTTGATTTGAACTGTTGTAATGTAAATCCACACTTTGTTTACTTTTGCATTCAATGTTTATTCACAGTAATATTTTTAATGAGGATGATGAGAGTTTCTCATCATACATAATTCAACATGCAGAGGCTGTCATAAATGCATAATGAATGTTTGTCTATTTAGATATCTGCTGTCTGTTTATTTTCATACTGTAACTGGTTTCTTGGACTAGAACTTTAAATGTCAGCCTCGAATGTATACAGTTTTCGCGAAATATGTAAACATCTCTGTTTATCTTTCTCAGACAAGCTAGCGTTAAATTGTTGATTGTATTTGATAAAGAAATCCTAGAATTGTCTTACCACAGAGCGAAACCACTTTATTAATCATTTAATTCCTTTATTTTGTCATTGTTTTTAACAGCACTGTGAGTACACCTGTCCTCTTGCAGGCGGCCATTTTGTTACTATTTTTATATATTGTAAACACGACGAGCACTCGCATAGCAACCGTGGATGCTGTATTGTATATGATAAAGTTTAATCTCAACTTTTTATGATGTTTCAACTTATTCCTAGCAGAAAACGTAAATTTGAGGTGTGTTATATTGTTTCTTGTATTCTTAACTTATTTTTTCTTTCTTCCACAAGGAAATCTGTGGAACCCACAAAAAAGACTGTGGGATGACTTTCCCACGGAAAATACTGTGGAGCGTTCCTTCCACAAGAAATTCTGTGGGCCCCACAAAAAAGTCTGTGGAGCGTTCTTTCCACAAGCTTGTGGAATTTGTGGGGACTGTGGCATATAAATAGCCCGTCTGCCTTCAGTCGGGGTCTTCCAACTTCGAAATTTTCATGTACACCGTATTTTGATTGTTTACTGAAATTTGATAGCTTAAAATACTTGACTGAATTTTAAAAGGTGTGCATTATTTTTTTAACGTAAAATAAGTAAATTTCTTCTTTGAATTAAAGGAAATATAAATTTTTCTCTTTATTACATCTGCATATACTTAATATTTTTTTGCATTTTTATTTTATCTTGGGAATTGACAGATACGCGTCATTTTAGTGGTTACGCCGCGGCTGTCCACCGTGTTTTACGACCTATTTCTATTCTTAGAATATTTTTATTTAACGAAATTTTTCTTTCTTCTTGTTTTCGTACATGTTCATAAATTGTGAAATAATATTTATCTTGCAATAAATTTGTTGATTCTAGAAATATTGTTTTCCTTTTTGCTTAGTTAAGGTGTTTCCCAAGATTGTTTTAAAATAATAATTAAATAGTTGGAAGTCCAAACGTCAAGAAGCGACCAACCGAGCAAGCATTCAAGTCGGCCCTAGTATTTACAGTCACGGTGAGCAGCTGAAACTGTGATCAGCCTACGTTAGAAAAAGTCAACTCACAGCTCACATTGATAGGTTGCTAAAAAGTCTGCAAAGTCATATTGAAACAGATCCTGACAGCTCATTTAAAGAGAGATCCTACTTGATCACTGCTTAGGCTCACACCACCAAGCGCGGGGCGTAACATTTTATGGTGGCAGCGGTGGGATCTACTGATTTCCAAGGGTAGATCCAGAGATTCGAACCTGTACTTGGTGCTACCAGAGAGCTTCATTCATCACGATCCAACAGCAACAGCATGGAAAGCCCTAGACCTGTCGACAGCGAGGGAGTGATAAGCTTCCAGGATGGTCAGCAGACAGTAGGAGCGCAGGCCAGGACGCTTGACTTTGAGACGGCCGACGAAATGTCTGATGTGGCTTCAGTGTTGAGTGATGTTTCAATACAAATGAAGAAAAGTGAACAAGAGAACACCAATGTGAATGCGGCAATAGAAATGTCAGCTGTGATGAGTGGAGTAACAAGCGTATTGCGAGATGTGGTCAAGGAACTGCAAGAGCTGAAGCAGGCCCCTAACAGGCAAGCAAGTGCTGATGACTGCTCACAGCGACAAGATGCACGAGGATCCCGTGCGGAACAAGAAGCAGGGGTATCTTATGGGGTAGGAAGCAGGTATGATGTCCCAAGGAGAGCACTTATAGACTATGGGTATGGTGATCACTATGATCAGGCTTACGTAAGAAGACCTTATGTCAATAGTCATAATAGTCATGCAATTAATGTGAAGATTCCTTCTTTTACAGGCAAAGAAGACTGGGCAACGTGGATAGCCCGTTTCGAAGCTGTTGCCTACAGGTATGGCTGGGGACGAGAAGAGAGGTTAGACCAGCTTCTGCCTAGAATAGAGGGTCCAGCGAGTGAATTTGTATTCACTCAACTGCCTCCAGCTGTCGTACAGAGCTATGATGACCTGACTGCAGAGCTCAACAGCCGATACAGAAGGATAGAAACTGCGCGATCCTTTGCTGCTAAATTCAGCAACAGAACTCAAGGGAGCGGGGAAACCGTTGAAGAGTATGCGGCGGACCTGAAGCGGTTGTACGACAAGGCGCATGGCTACAGGGATAGGAGGACGAGGGACGAGGATCTGGTCAGAAGATTCCTTGATGGGCTCAGAGATGAAGAGATGAAGTTTCTGATAGAATACCACAAAGAGCCGTCCAACATTGACGAAGCGGTGTTTCATGTCGTAAACTTTATACAGACGAAGAACTCTGCGAAACGTGACAGACCTTACAGACATGCTGTTCGTCGCTCTCAAACGGAGACTCTTGAGCTGGCGCAGCGCGAAAGTGTGAACCGGTTACCTGAATGGAAAAACACTGAGAATAACAGGGATGAGCAGAGGCCAGAGATGAAGGTGCTCGACCAAATTTTAGAGAGGTTATCTAAGCTGGAGAGTGACCAGGAAGCGAGAAAGAGAACCGATCTAAGCAGAAGGTCAAACAAGAGGGATGTCGAATGCTACAATTGTCATAAGCATGGACATTACTCAAGGGATTGCCCAGCGAAGAAGTCAACTGGTAGGGATTTTGAAGGCGTCGGAGGGCATATGTCGAAGAAACCTTTAAACTTCAATGGACCGACTCTTGTGGCCAAAGAGGGGTCCAAGTAAAAGATAGGGATAGGGCCACAAACAGAGATCAGGGACAGAATTCAGAGAGTTGTAATGAGAAAAGTGAATCGATTGGATTAAAGAAAGAGATGAATGATGGTGTGTACGTTGAGGGATGTGTCGAAGGTTTGCCTGTGGTGTTCACGGCTGACACAGGTGCCTCAAGAACCATTTTGTCATCTAGGATTTATAATCAATTGGAAAAAGGGGGAAGGCCAATGCTAAAAAACTCGGTATGTTTAAAAGGTGCAGGTGGCTCCCCAATAAAGATTTTAGGTAAGGGGATGTTTGAGATAAAGCTGGGAGAGCTTGCTCTTAAACGTGAAATTATAGTAGCTGACATAGAAGATGATGCGCTTCTTGGTTACGACATACTGAATTCTGCTGACCTGCTTCTTACAAAAGATTTGGTAGTTCTGAAGGGCCAAAAGATACCATGTAAAAGGAGACTCGACACTTTGAAGACAAGGAAGGTTACCATTGCAGAGGATGTTGAGGTGCCAGGGAAGTCCGAGACAGTGATAGATGTTTATGTAGAAAGAAATGAAGCCGATGATGATGAGACGATGGCTGCATTTCTGGTTGAGCCGACTGAAGATTTCAAGGATAGGTATCAGTTGATACTGGCATGTACGCTGGTTGACATCAATGGTGCCGCTACTTCGAAGGTGCGTGTTCTCAATCCATTTCCTGTTGACGTGAAACTCAGGCAAGATGCCGTGATAGGTAAGGCTGAAAAGGTCGAAAAGATAGTAAGTATAGTATCTGATCAAGAGCATAGCAGTGAAGCAGAAAACCTAGGCAAGGTTAGGCGAATAGAGGTGGCGACCAAAGGAAAGATGGAGCCCGAGATCGGTTTGCCGAGAGCTGAACCAGAAGATGTGCCAAGTCACCTAACAGAGCTATATACTGAAGCAATGAAAGGTCATGCCAGTGGATGAAGCAAAAGATAATTGCAGGCCTCCTCGTGAAACATCAGCACACATTTTCCAAGGACGAATGGGATATTGGATTGACGCATTTGGTGGAGCATCCAATAAAAACGAATGATGCAGAACCAGTCAAGCAACGACCTAGGAGAGTACCTCTTGCGTACGCAGATGAAGAGAAGAAGGCGATCGAAGACTTGCTAAAGAAAGATGTTATACGAAAGAGTACGTCACCTTGGGCTAGCCCAATTGTACTCGTAAAGAAGAAATCGGGAGCTATAAGACCTTGCGTCGATTATCGAAGAGTTAATGCATTAGTGAAACAGGACGGATTCCCACTACCAAGAGTGCAAGACTGCCTTGATGCCGTGGCCGGTGCCAGTTTGTTCAGCAGCTTTGATCTTACCAGCGGGTATTTCCAGATACCTCTCAAACAGGAAGATATTCCGAAAAGCGCTTTCGTCTGTAAATTTGGGCAGTTCGAGATGACACGAATGCCGTTCGGGCTTAATAACAGCAGCAGTACATTTCAAAGAATGATGGAGCTGGCACTGCAGGGTCTTCAATGGGAAACGTGCTTGGTCTATATCGACGATATAATAGTTTACGGGGCAAATTTAACCGAACATCTGCATAGAGTTGATGAAGTACTGAATCGAATACAAAGCGCTGGATTAAAATTGCGTCCTGATAAATGTCATCTTTTGCGAACTGAAGTTGTTTTCTTAGGTCACATTGTCTCTAAAGATGGCGTCAGGCCTGATCCTTCGAATATCTCTAAAATTGTAGATTGGCCGAGACCATGTACACCAAAACAAGTGAAGCAATTTGTCGCTACTGGCTCATATTATAGAAAGTTTGTGAAGGGTTTTGCGACGATTGCTAGACCATTAATAGACCTAACCAAGAAGGGTCAAGACTTTGTTTGGAGCAGTGAATGTGAGCAGGCTTTTTGCTCGCTAAAAGATGCCTTGATAAGCCCTGACGTAATGGGATACCCACTGAATGATGGTGGTACATTCATCCTTGATGTGGATGCTTCTGGGGTTGGAATCGGTTCGGTGCTGGCTCAAGTGCAAGAGGGGCGCGAAAGAGTAATTGCGTATGCGAGCAGAGGATTGAATAAAGCAGAGCGCAACTACTGTATTACCGAGAAGGAGCTTCTAGCAGTAGTCTTCTTTGTTCAGTACTTTCGGCAGTACCTACTAGGGAGACGGTTCCTGGTTCGAACCGATCATCAGGCTTTGGTTTGGTTGTTCAGTCTTAAGGAGCCAAATGGGAAGATAGCAAGATGGCTCGAAATTATGGCGCCTTATGATTTTGCAATAGAGTACAGACCAGGTAAGAAACAACCACACTGTGATGCGTTGTCTAGATGCGAACAACCTAGAGACTGCCAATGTAGCGAAGTTGACACGAGCGAAGCCTTGAAGTGCGGTCCATGTGGCAAATGCCAAAGAAGGGCGGAGCAAATGGCGCATGCGAAAGTGGTTGGTGTTTGCGGTATGAAGATTGGTGAAAGTGTGCGGGTTGTGGAGGCTGATCAAAGGCCAAGTACAAGTAAGGGGGCACGTAACGAAGAAACACCGTGGCTTAAGATGTTTTCATGCAAAGAGAGGGATGACCCATATATAGCTCCAATTGTGCGAGCATTAGAGAGTGAGGCAAAACCGCTTGGTTCAGATATGGAAAGAGAGAGTCCAGCAACCAGACAGTACTGGGTACTATGGGACTCACTTATTATCAGGGACAAGGTGTTATATAGGCAATTTAAAAAGAAGAATGGGACGGACTGTTATGAACAAGTTATTGTACCAAAATGTTTGAGAAGGGACATCTTGAGTCAAATGCATGATAGTATCCTTGCAGGCCATTTAGGTACTAAGAAGACGAAACAAAGAATACAGTCAAACTTCTACTGGTATGGTCTAAAAGGCGATGTTAACTTGTTTGTCAAGACCTGTGACACGTGCGAATCCGACAAAGCAATGCAGAAGCCTCCAAGAGGTCCAATGGGACACTTACAAAGCGGTGCTCCATGGGATACGCTCGCTATTGATTATCTTGGTCCTTTGCCTATGACTGAAAATGGAAATAAGTATATAATGGTCTTAACTGACCATTTTACAAAATATGTTGAAGTCTTGGCTGTCCCTAATCAACTGGCTGAAGATTGTGCATTGAGAATCGCTAATGAGTTTGTCTCACGCTGGGGGACACCATCAAAAATTCACACTGATCAAGGTTCGACCTTTGAGAGTAATGTTTTTAAAGAACTGTGTTCTTTATTTCAGGTTAAAAAGAGCCGCACGAGTCCCAGAAATCCAAAATGTAATGGTCAAACTGAACGATACAATAAGACGTTACTGAAGATGAATGGGATAATAGGCCTATCTTAGTGTGCCATCGTCGACCAAAGTTGCGAGAAAACATCTCAAGGCTAGCGCAAAGCGTAGCAAGGACCTGTACGATACTAAATGTCGTTCGTAAACTACAAAGTAGGCGACATTGTTGGTTGTTGCATGAGTCGAGAACTGTCGGTATATCTCCGAAACTCTTGAGAAAAGGTACGATGGACCTTACATCATTGTAAAGAAAATGTCACCAATAAATTTTGTGGTGCAAATGAACCCTGAGGGGCACTCTGTGTTAATACATCATGATAAGTTGAAAATGTATAATGGGACCAACGTGCCAAAGTGGGCCCGTAAAATTGCAAAACGTATAACACAATAAATAAACAGAATTGTCATTGTCTTTTGTCATCATTTCCTTGCGCTTAAACGAGAAACGTTAGAAATCGACCAAGAGTTAAGTTTGATGCGACGTGGTAAACGTACCGAGAAACCGTGCGAAAATTTTTGTCGAAGTTGGCGTGCCGAGTACCATTTTCTGTCAATTCCCTGAAGTAGGTGATAAGGGCAAGTACTTATGATCCCCTCCTCTTATCGTTTCAGGAAGTCATGGACAACAGAACACCGAAGAGGAAGATGTTTTCGTGTGCTCACTGTGGAGGGCCTGGGTCCGGGTGTGTTGGCGAGCGTTATCGGGTCATAGACCACGTAATGAAGCACCATATGGCACTTGACCAGACGCCGTACTACTGCAACCTGTGTATGTTTAGGTGCACTAGTCAAGACCAGCTCAACAGGCACGTGACCAGCTATAAGAGGCACGCAACCATGGCGGCTATGGCTGAGTTTCAAGGTGATGCGTCTCGCTATCTTGTGCACAACCCCAATGCCAAGACCATTGAGGAGGGCGTCGATTATCGTGCGGTACCTGAAGAGCAGGAGCAGTCAGGTCCATCTAAGCCGACACAGAGCCAAGTGACAGGCACCTCCGAGCAGGGTGGAACGGAAGAGTTGGTCACAGTGAGGTTGTCACCAGCAGTATTGGCCTCACTCCTGTCAACCAACAACGCCAGCCAGAAGACCCAGACGCAAGCAGTGCCGCCTGCCCTCCAGTATGATCCCTCTAGGCCAGGTATGACAGAGTCGGAGACCAACGCCTTCATTAGCAGTTTGCTTGACGCGCCATCAACCTCAACTGGTGCAGGAACTGGTAGGCCTCTACAGCAAACGACGCCAACTGCTGAAACTGGGTCAGCAACTTACAGGCCGACACCCATAGTGCCAAAGTCACCGCAGCTGCGAATTCCCGACCTGCCAGTAAATAGAAGTAGGTCCCACACTCCAGCCCTATCCATTCGGTCAGCTTTTTCGCCACTTACGACGCCTGACGTGTTTAGTCGCAGGACTTCCAACGTGGATGAGAATATCATGCCCCAGTTGCTTGGTGACCCTGCGGATGAGAACATGATATTCTCCCCCCAACCTGCACCTGCCCAGGTCGTCCAACAGGAACCACCTAGAACGACAGCGACACAGGCGACGCAGACAGAACCAGAGGCAGCTCCAACTCCAAGGGTTGATTCTTTGGCTCCCCTCAATGCAGTCCTGGGGCACTTTGAGAAGACAATGGAGGTAGCCATGGGAAAGATGATCTTTGCGGTCGAGTCGGTGGCACGGGCCACACGCCACGTACAACAATCTATTGACACATTGGGGACCTCAGTTTCACAGGTTTCCAGAGCGGTCGACCGCCTCACTGATGAGCAGAGACGCTTGGCACGAAGTCGCGAATCGACAGGGAATCAGAGCAACAAGCGAGCGAGGGAAGACGAGGACAAAGAGAACGACAGAGCCCTGAAGTCAGTAGTCAGCAAGAAGAACGGTTCATATAAAAGAAATTGATATTTGTAATTATGTGTTTAATGTAAATTAATTTGTTAAGTTTAATAATTTTAAGACGTTGTTAAAATTTACACTGATTCATTAATTGTTTAATGATTATCTACTCTAGTCAAGTGTTCATTTTTTTAGAATTCCATATTTGATGTTTAAACATAAAGTGATGTTTGATTACTTTGATTTCTCTGCAATTGATATTTAAAAAAAATTTCTATGTTATTTAAGATTAGAAAATTGCTTATTCTGTTTCTTACCACACTGTTAAGTTATTACTATATTCGCTTAATTCTTCTTGTATAATGTTCATAGCGATACATTTATATAATTAACATTTAATAAGAATTTTCATACTTTACCAATTGTATTGTTAACTGAAACAGAAAATAGTTTAAAATCATATGACACTTACAGTGACCAGTAAGCCAATAGTTGCATGTAATGGCAACAGGAGTTTGCCATAAGAGCGAGGGGGTAATGTAATATCCCAGGGTCACATCTTTTATACTTACCTTGATTTGAACTGTTGTAATGTAAATCCACACTTTGTTTACTTTTGCATTCAATGTTTATTCACAGTAATATTTTTTATGAGGATGATGAGAGTTTCTCATCATACATAATTCAACATGCAGAGGCTGTCATAAATGCATAATGAATGTTTGTCTATTTAGATATCTGCTGTCTGTTTATTTTCATACTGTAACTGGTTCTTGGACTGGAACTTTAAATGTCAGCCTCGAATGTATACAGTTTTCGCGAAATATGTAAACATCTCTGTTTATCTTTCTCAGACAAGCTAGCGTTAAATTGTTGATTGTATTTGATAAAGAAATCCTAGAATTGTCTTACCACAGAGCGAAACCACTCTATTAATCATTTAATTCCTTTATTTTGTCATTGTTTTTAACAGCACTGTGAGTACACCTGTCCTCTTGCAGGCGGCCATTTTGTTACTATTTTTATATATTGTAAACACGACGAGCACTCGCATAGCAACCGTGGATGCTGTATTGTATATGATAAAGTTTAATCTCAACTTTTTACGATGTATCAACTTATTCCTAGCAGAAAACGTAAATTTGAGGTGTGTTATATTGTTTTATGTATTTTAACTTATTTTTTCTTTCTTCCACAAGGAAATCTGTGGAACCCACAAAAAAGACTGTGGGATGACTTTCCCACGTAAAATACTGTGGAGCGTTCCTTCCACAAGAAATTCTGTGGGCCCCACAAGAAAGTCTGTGGAGCGTTCTTTCCACAAGCTTGTGGAATTTGTGGGGACTGTGGCATATAAATAGCCCGTCTGCCTTCAGTCGGGGTCTTCCAACTTCGAAATTTTCATGTACACCGTATTTTGATCGTTCACTGAAATTTGAAAGCTTAAAATACTTGACTGAATTTTAAAAGGTGTGCATTATTTTTTTAACGTAAAATAAGTAAATTTCTTCTTTGAATTAAAGGAAATATAAATTTTTCTCTTTATTACATCTGCATATACTTAATATTTTTTGCATTTTTATTTTATCTTGGGAATTGACAGATACGCGTCATTTTAGTGGTTACGCCGCGGCTGTCCACCGTGTTTTACGACCTATTTCTATTCTTAGAATATTTTTATTTAACGAAATTTTTCTTTCTTCTTGTTTTTCGTACATGTTCATAAATTGTGAAATAATATTTATCTTGCAATAAATTTGTTGATTCTAGAAATATTGTTTTCCTTTTTGCTTAGTTAAGGTGTTTCCCAAGATTGTTTTTAAAATAATAATTAAATAGTTGGAAGTCCAAACGTCAAGAAGCGACCAACCGAGCAAGCATTCAAGTCGGCCCTAGTATTTACAGTCACGGTGAGCAGCTGAAACTGTGATCAGCCTACGTTAGAAAAAGTCAACTCACAGCTCACATTGATAGGTTGCTAAAAAGTCTGCAAAGTCATATTGAAACAGATCCTGACAGCTCATTTAAAGAGAGATCCTACTAGATCACTGCTTAGGCTCACACCACCAAGCGCGGGGGCGTAACAGTATGACCTTATGCATTACATCCGCTTTGAAATAATTCAAAAAGACTAGTCAAGTACTGTTAAATACACTGAAACTTAGGACCGTAGGTTCAAACCCCAGATGGGTCAATATGCTGTTTTTTTCTTTTAATATTATTCATGTATTATATCTCTCATATCCCTTTTGGAAAGAAAAAAATAGTTTTATATTTACTATTTAATTAATATAGGTATTTTGACTAAATAATGCTACATCTAATAACAAATATGGTACCTGATATTTTCAAAGTGCATTAAAATCAAAACGAGTCGTTAAAAGTATTTAATTTTTTACAAGATCAACCAATATACGTATGAAAAATTAAGGGAAGCTTTGAAAACAGGCACTCATTTCAGTAATTTTAAGATATGTTTATTTAGGTTCTCTTAGTAGTAAATTAGTGTTAAAATGAGTGAGGAAGGGTAACATAATATTCTTATTTCATAAATTTTGAGAAGAAACAAATACAATTTTTTATGTATGTTACATTTTGTTTCTTACCCCCCAAAAAATGTGAAAACATTTTTTCATACAGATGATATTTAAGGTTATTTACAGGTTTCTTGTGTTGAAACAGAGCCCCTCTAACATCTAAGATTCAATCAGAAAAATGGCCAGTACCTGATTTCTGTACGGAAAAGTGTGTTTAAATTTTGCATACATGTGTCATTTAAAGTAAATATCTGACATGAGATAAAGAAAACAACATATTTACTAGCGACTGATTTCTAGGTGTATGATTTTGAGGAGAGAATCGCACATCTCTCTAAATGCGTGGATTAAAGTCACACAGGAAAAACATTGGCACTCAAAGCGACATGTTTGCATCATTAATTAAAGAAGATGATACTGAATGGATACAAACTATTCGAGACGAAGAGTTTGATTCATATCCACATGCAATTGATATGCTCTTAGATCTACAACATAACAGAGAAAAGTTACTTTGTGCAAAGAAATAAATAAACCAATTGTTTCAGAAGAATCAGACCCCAACTAGGCCTATGACTAAAGGTGATAAATACCCCAACCAGCAACTTTTACGTTTTGAAAAATATGTGGTCTGAAGAAAAATTTGGACTCAACCTGTGGTAAATGAAAAATCAACAGTGTACGAAGAATTGTTTCAATGTATCGCAATACTAACCAGGGTCTTCATATAAGCTTGCTTTACACCAAGTTTGATTACAGATTTTTATTTCTAACTCCAGTTATTGTCCGGAAACCATTTGTCTATTTTAAGTAAAGGTGGCATTTACCTTGACCCCGGGGAGTCAAAATACAATGCCAGCCTAGGTCTTTATATAAGCTTGCTTACAATATCTCATTCCTCACTCTAGTAATTGTCCGAAAACATTTTTTCTATTTCAAGTTACGATGACCTTTACCTTGATCCAAGGGGCCCAACTACAATATTATATTGAGCTTTGACCTCTAAATATAGCCTTGACATTGGAGATAAGTGTCCGAGTGTTGTGCATGACATATCGTCCTATAACTGTCAACATTTATGGCAAGTATCTTTAATACCCCTTAATGAATGAGAACGTTATGCACAAGAAACTGTATATACCCTATAACACACTATGTTAATATTTGACCTCCGACTGTGACCTTAACCTTTGTGGTAGGCGACTTGTTTTTGCGCTTGACACATTGTCATATCATGAACATTTGTGTCAATTAATTTCAAAACCCCTTGTTTTTTGAAAACAATTATAGATCAGACACAAAATATTACATGCACCTGATTGTATTAATCTTTGACCTCTGACTGTGACCTTGACCTTGAAGGTAGTCAATTGGATTTTGCGCATGACAAATTGTCTTATTATTTTGAACATTTGTGCCAAGCACTTTTAAAATCCTTCCATGGATAAGTAAATTATGGTCCGGACACGTAATATATCATCAAATAGACAATGCTGACCTTTAATCACAAAATGTGACCTTGAACTTGAAGGTAGGGGTCCGGTTGTTTCGCATGACATATTGTCTCTTCATAACAAACACTTGTGTCAAGTTATTTGAAATTATGTTAAAAAACATAAATGACATTGCTATGTACCGGACACGAACATGTGACGGACGGAGAGATGGCGAAGCCAATTACTATATCAACTTTTTTTCTTCGCAGAGTCGGGGGACAATTACAAAGGATTTATTACAATGTATTAAAACGTTTCTTGCCTATATATTAGTACGTTACCTCCGTTTTTTTATAAAATTTATTTCAATTTCTTTATCAAACTTTATATTTGTTTATCTTATTTTTTTTTGTTACAAATACGATTATATAGGCGATCCAGGTTATTATAAATAATATGATTTATTATTTTAAAATAAGACTACTCATTAATTAAAATTGATCTTACTTGAAATATGTCAATTCACTAAAAATTTGTAAATGATATATAAAAAATATCAATTTTTTATGGCAAGTTATCACAAACATGAATAAAGATGTCTGGCGTACCAGTCCCTGCAGTTGTTAATTAACACCTCTACCTCATTCTGTTTTGTCTTGTGCAGTCTCTCTAATTGAAAGACTGAAAGGGTTGAATGACTGATACTTAGTTGCTGTATCATGTACATTGCTACATTGCTATGTTCAAAGGAAGTAATAACAAACGTAAGTTTCAAACGTTTCTCCAAAAACTACCACTGCATTTTTGAATGGCTGAAAATTAAATGCTTGAAATAAAGGGAGGTAAGAAGAGCACATTTTCATCTACCCAAAAATATCACACTGATTTTAAAGCTTAGATATTTTGCATGAAGCATTACTTTGTTGATATCTAAAAACGATAAATAAATCATGCTCCTAGGGTCAACATTGGCCCTGCCCAAGGGGTCATATAATACTAAGAAAACTTATTTTTATATCTTATGTAAAGCAACAATTGCCAGATCCCTGCAATAGGTAGACAATTTTTTTTAAAGATTTTAAAAAATGACTGC